GCAAAGTTAACTCTTTGCTTCTCTGCTTTACTCTGATGCTTGGTGAGGGGATGATTCACTGAGCAGGTTGACAGGGTTGTGCCTGTGCCTTTGCTTCATCCCACTGCAGTGGGTGATCCTCTGCCCAGCCCTGTTTCCCCTCCTTTTTATCACAATCCTATTCTGTGTTTCTCTGTGCACAGTTAAAAACCTTCCTGAGAAACGTGATTTGTGCATCACAAGACAAAGGCTCAATTTCAAATAAACGTGCCTTACCCTCAGTTTTAAAAATTTTCGTTCCAACGAAACACCTTTCCCATCACATCCTCTGATTCATTATTTCATTTTGGTCCTACAGCTCCTAATTCTGCAGCACTCTGGTGCCAGCCTCTGAGGAAGTCTGTTGGTTTCATCAAAGTCGTGCTGTGACTCATGGTCCCTTCTTACAGAAAACAGGCTTTTCCTCCTGATGAAGACAACCAATCTTCAAACCCTGTGCTGCCTTCTGGAGAGATGGATATGAAACACAGGCAGATCCCAAGCCCTGGAGCTGATCTCCCAGGAAAATGAGCACCACAGGGAGATGAATTGTTGTAAACAAGTGGAAGTGAGATTTTGGGTGAAGAGAAAAGCTTTTAACGGATCTTTTAAAATGCAAAAATCAGAAAGAAGAAGAAAGTATTCTCTCTCTTTTTTTTTCCTTTTTCCATTTTCCAGGTTTTGGTTGTTTTTTTTTTTTTTTTTTTTTTTTGTTTGGGGTTTTTTTTTTTTTTTTTTTTTTTTTTGATTGTAGTGCTGTATCCTTGGAGTGAGACTGGCAGCATGGCAGAATGTATTTTTCCCTGTCTCCAAAATTCCATGAAAACTTTTCAAGATACAGAGTGAAATCTGCAAGTGAATGCCAGTGAGCTCCAAATGATGAGCAACATATTAAAAAACACTGAGCCATGCTGTGATAAAAGCTCTCCTCCCTCACTCCTGTAATATATACAAAAAGCAAGAGATATTGTCCTGTATTCAATAAAAATCAGCACCACAGTCCTTATTTCTTCCAGACACATTCTCTGAACTCTGATTTCTGTTTTAGTCTGGTCAGCACCTTTGGCATTTAAAGCTGGAGCTGTGAACAGAATGAAGAGCATCATTTTCCCCTGCTAAATGATATTTTTCAAAAAAAAAAAACTCAGAAAAGAAACAGAGTTAGATTGTGTCACTTACAAAGACAAACTGGGTTTCTTTGCAGATGCAAACAGGTTTATACCAGTTGTGCAGGTCAGCATTCATCAAGGCTCAGAAATGCTCCACAAATTTGTGTTTTCTTTCATCCCAAAATCATGTAGACTTGTGCTGACATGTTTTCCTAGATCAGCCTCCTGAAGGGTGCTCGCTTCTTTGGGCGAGAGGATGAACCAATCTGGCTGCCTTGCTGTGGCATCACTGGTGAGCAGCTTTAAAATCCCTGTACCACTTGCTTGCTCTGGTCTGGCCCAAGCCAGGAGGAAGGAGAGGGATTAAGTGTCAAGTTCTGAGTCAGAAAGCACCAACCATGACATCAGGTGTTTTCCTGGACTGGTCACGAAAAATGGCATTTCATGCTTGTGTTGATGGTAAAGAGAAATCAATCTTATTCCAATTGCCGGTCTGAAGGAAAACAAAAAATGATTTATTGCAGTAATGTGAAACTTTGTAAGAATTCATGCTCTGTGTGGGAGCTGTACTAATAATGCTGTTGGCAGTCATCGCTGCTTTCCAGCTGGACAGGAGAACTAAAACATTGAAAATGTCAGGTGCCACAGATTTCGTTACAGTTCCCCGTGGCACTGCTGAGGTCAGTCCCAGTTAATGGAGTTTGTTGCTGTTTGGGTGTTTTTTAAATTCAGCAGGCAATGCTTCACCTCCTGCAGTCTGCACGGAGCAGACCCCAAGGATAACAACGTCAGGAGCACTCTGGGAGCTGCCAAGGGCTGTGACAAGGTTGTTGCTGCTGCTGACAACCAGCGAGAAGCTGTGTTTTAATGGCTGAATGTTGGCATGTTTTGCTAATGTATGTCTTGGAATGGAGGCTTAATATAGCTCATGAGCTACCTGCTGCTGCTGAGTGAAGGGAAAGGTGAAGCACAGTTGACTGCTGGAAGCGCTGGAGTTTGAGGCTCTGGTCTACGAGATTTCATTGCGACCCTTGGGTGAATCCCAGAAGTTCCTGTGCCTGAAATCCAACCCTAAAACAAGAGCTCCATTGCAGTGACAAAGGGATGGAGTGGGCTGGGTTGCTGGAAGTGTCCTAATGCTGTTAGATCTTGGTAACAATCGCTACTACATCTCTGTTATGTTTGTGAAATTTTGGGGTGCTGGCGAGATCTAAATCTACCCTCCCTCAGCTTAAAACCATTCCCCTTTTCCTTTCACTCCAGGGTCTTGTAAAAACTCCCTCACCAGCTCTCTTGAAGCCTCTTGAAGTACTGAAAAGGGTTCTAAGTTCTCCCTGGAGCTTTCTTTTCTCCAGACTGAACAACCCTAGCAAAACATCACCCCAGGTGCGGCTGCAGCACCCACACATGCCCTTATACACTCACTACAAATTTTTGGCCTTTCTCTTTCTCCTGCTTGAAACTCCTGGCTGGCTTGGCTGGTTTGTATCACCAGTGATATGGTGTTTAACTAACTTTGCTGCTTCTCTATTTAGGTTAGATATTAGGAAGAAATTCTCTGAGGATGGTGAGGCCCTGGCACAGGGTGCCCAGAGCAGCTGTGGCTGCCCCATCCCTGGAAGTGTCCAAGGCCAGCTTGGATGGGGCTTGGAGCAGCTTGGGATTGTGGAAGGTGTCCCTGCCCATGGCAGGGGGTTGGTATAAGATGAGATTTTAGGTTCTTTTCCAACACAAACCATCCTGTAATTCCATGGTTCTCTGATCCTTTCCCACTGGCATTTGGCTGAGTGAGCCCAGGACGGGGCTGGCAGCCTGTGGATGCTGGGCTGGCTGCTCCAGGCTCCCCTGGCATGGTTTTTGTTCCCAGAAAACAACCCCAGCAGGTTGGTTTGGCCACCCTGCAGCACTCAGGCCATGCCTGTGCCTGTGCTTCTGAAGGGGTTTTGCACTTGAGTGCCCAAAATCACTTCAGGTTCTGCTTTGTGCTTCCCAGCCCACAGGAGGCCTGGAATAATAACTGTGATGTGCTGCCTTATTGCTTAAATGCCCTCATGAATATACTCCAGTCTGATCTACTGTTCAAACAAATTCAATAAGGCAGAGCAGGATTTAAAGATATTTTAAATAAATTAACTTCTGCATGGATGTTTATTAAGTTTTATGAAGCCATTTACTAAAACATAACATTTTTTTCCAAAAGGTGCCTGAAATTTTCCCCTCGTGAACTATGGAAATTGCTTTTATAATTGAAATGAAAAATAAAGGCCAAGCTGAAAGCACTCCTCCTGGCTCAAGGCACAGTCCTTGTGCCTTTCTAAAGGAAAAAAAGAATTATTTGACTCTCCACATCTTCTGTTTTCCTTCACATTTGTGGGGCGGGATGTGGTGCAGGATTGTGTGACACCGGGCGGGAGGGAGGCTTGGGAAGCTCAGCTTCCCAGGATTTGGCTTTTTCAAGGAATCAGCCCTGAGCTAGACAAGTCACAAGCAGACAGCAACGTTTTTCACTCCAGCTTGAACACGGGCTGGATTTCTGCACAAACCATGGAGGCTCCACTGGGAGCGCCGTGCCCAGCACACAAATCTCCTGCAGCCTGGAAACAAGGATGCTGCCACGTGCTGTGGATTTCCACTGCTGGAGACATGAGCTGTGAGCTGAAAATACACCTTTGAGCAGAGCAGGGCTGAATACCACATCAAAGGATCCATAAAATAAATGATTTTCATTCTTTAGTTCTTGATGGTATAGGGACAATAGAGGCTCCTGCTCTTCTCATCTGGAAGCAGCAGCAAAAAGCCTTTGGAGACCATTTCAACTAGGTTTTAGAAGATGGATTTTCCAGGCATGGATGATTCCAAATATTTAAATTTTGTTCTCTTGCTGCTTTCCAAGCCACCTTCCCTTCAATCAGAAATCAAAACAAAAGGCTCGAATGGTTAAAAACTATGAAGATTTTATGGCTCAGCTCAGCTATTGCACAACAGAACATTAACCAGGAGCTGCAGGGAGGATGAAGGTGACTGATTTTTGCTCATTTAGTGTTAAGGACACCTTAATATAGTGGGTAATACCCAAGCATTCTGTCCCCACAAAATTACATTTGTGTTAGAAAAATAAATGCCAGGGAGGAAGAGGATCATGCTAAAGATGGGAGGAGAGGAGGGGAAATCTCACTGTTAAAAGACAATAAACCTGCTTCTTTTTCTTCATTCTTTGGGCTGACTCCTTTGCTGTGCCCCTACAGCTCCCAGTGCCATAAAGCCCCAATCTGCTCAGTTTTCTGGGCAAAGCTGCTGCAGAATAATGGCCAAGATACATCTGTGACATCTGCCCTGCAACAGGGAAAAGCAAGCAGGAGCGACAGGCAAGGCAGGAGCTCAGACCCCTGCAGTGCCCCTGGGATCTCAGCACTTGGAGCTGCTCAGCCTGGGAGCTCAGCTCTCATTCCCTTCAGGCTCCTGCACTCCACATGCTCCAAGTCCTGGATGCTCTCAATTGCTCTGCCCAACAGCAGAGCAGGACAGCACAGATCTGATGCTTTTAACAGATCCCAGGAAGGATTTTCAGGGCAAACATCACTGGTGGGAGCGTCCTTCAAACCTAACTAGTCCCCCTGTTTGTCTGCTGAGCTGAAGTCAGGAGCAGCAGCTGGTGCTTGGAGGCTGTTTGTGCTGCAGAGTGCAGGGACAGCAGCACTCAGGGCCCTTCTGCAGAGGAGCTGCAAGTCCCAGTTCGAGGCCAATGGGATTCCACCAGTTTAGACCCCAGGCAGGGTGCCTGATAACCAGGCTGTGTGATAAAGGCACACCTGCCACTTCAAGCAAAAGCAGCCCAAGCCTTAAATTTAGATATTTATTTCTTAGGATCAATAAATGACAAAATAAAATACCATACAGTACAAAGGCTATATCAGGAATTAACCATTTCAGTACACTTTGATCAGTAAATAGAGTATCAATAATAGCATGTTACACTGAAAGAGTGTTTCCCATTGCCATACAGGAGGATTCCACACCCTCTTCTTTCCCTTTGTCACAGAAAATATCACAAAATAGACAATGACACACTTTTAACATTCATTTTTTTCCCCATTGAGCAACAGGCCACAAAAAATAAAGCACATCAACATTTTGTATCTCAGAATAAAATAAAAATAAAAAGGTGCACTTCAAAAATATTTGCCATAAATACAATATGTGCAGGACTATCAGGTGGCACAGCTGGGGAAGGACTCTGGATCACAAAGCCAGGACACAGCGTCATGAAATTTTGGATCAGCTGTTTCTACTTTCGTACTAAGCAAATCCAGACTGAGAACAGGAGGAGTGGTTGAGCTGTGATGTGAAGAACCAGACGGAGCTCCAGCAGACACAGCTTTGGTTAAAGAGTCACCAAAGAGCACAGCCAGGAGGACACTGGGCTGACACAGCAGCCTGTGGGAGGTGCCCCCAGCCCTGTGGGTGTTTGCTGTCCCTGCCCAGGTGATGGGCTCAAACCTGCAGCAGAGCTGCCTGCAGCAGCAGCACACCCAGGGCTGCCTCACCGAACGCTGGAAATGCAAAGATCCTGCTGTTGTTGTGTTCCAGCACGTGCCCTGCCAACCTCCTCGCTGATTTCCCATTGGGTTTTCTCCTGGAAAGCTCGCTGAAGTGAGGTCTCATGCACCTTACAGAAAAAGACAAGCTCAGCAGAGCTTTCCTACACTGATGGGCTGGGCCTGTGGTGAGACAGTCCTGTCTGGGGGGAGTTTCTGAATAGCAAAATTACTTCATAAACCTGATTTCACACTCTGCTAAACTGATGGCTCTGGCAAGGGCACCCTGAAGAGAAACAAAGCCTCAAAATAACGTTTGAAGAGGTCACTTGATAGCCTCTCTTCAGAATGGAATTTCTCAGAATCCATCTGGCAGCACTTCACATCTGCGGGTTCCACAGATTTTATTCTTTTTTTAGTCAAAACAAACAGTTCCAAACACAGGGAATTTGCATAGATGAGCAGAGGCCCGGCACTCACCTCTGCTTTGGTGAAGAGTGCAGCCAAGGCAGGGACACAATGGATGGGAGTTTTTGTTCTGTCTAATGGCAAAAGCCATCCACATCAGATTAAATTAAAAAACCTTGTTGAGTTAGCAGTTCAATCATTGTTAAGAGGCATCTAAAGAACATTTCTCTGGTAAATATGGAGCAGTTTGTACCTTTCTCTTCTCTACTGTATCAGCTTTCCTTTACAAGGCCAGGTTGGATGGGGCTTGGAGCAACCTGGTCTAGGGAAAAGTGTCCCTGCCCACAGCAGGGGTTTGGAACTGGATGGTCTTTAAGGTCCCTTCCAACCCAAAATGTCCAGTGATTCTCTGGAAATCATGAAACCATGGGGGTTTGCAGTCAGCTATCCTCACTTCTTTGAGCTCTAGGGAACCACACCTCTGAATACTGAGCTGAATACAGCAAAATTAGGTGAGGAGGAAAGAGAGGATGAACGCAGCTGTAACTTACACTGCTCAGCTCAAGGCTGTCAGATTTGGCCAGTGGAAGAGGTAGCTTTGAGCTGCAATCTCAGATTAAGGCCATGGACCCAGATCTGCTTTCCTGTTAAACTGCAAGAACAGAGCTGTAGAAGTCAGCAAACCACTTGGATAAATCCCCCAAATTCCCCCTGCTCCTCAGCACTCGAGTGGCCCAACAAACACTGTGGAAAGAGTTGATGATAAATTCACTTTTTCTCCAGCTTTTTCTCACTGTCATGTCAAACCAAAAATAAGCCTGCCAGTTTCTCTGAGCTGTGCTCAAATATTCTGTAAGCTGCCTGTGTATCTCAGTAGTGAAAATCTAAACCAAGCATCTTATGTGAAAGAACAATTTTTGTACAGTGTTTTCTAAGATAATCAAGCACATTTCAGCAGGTTGGTGTTGAACAAGTGTAGTAACAATGTTTAATATTTCAAATGAGTAAATGAGACATGCAGGGTGTTAATGAAAGTCAAAGCAATGCAGTTACAGCTTCCCTGGGGGGTTTCCAGAAAGCTCCTCCCAGCTGCTGGCTGTATTTACAGGTGAAGAAAAAAAATTTGGGTCATCCAGAAACATTTGAAGTGTCTTGCCCGGAAGGCCAATGTTAAATGTGTGACATCAAGACACCTCTTTCTCTCAAGGCAGATTTTTCCCCTCTCCTGTTCATGGTACCTGGATTTTGCCACGAGGCAGGATGAGCAGGTCTTCTTCTTCCAACCTGCCCAAGCCATTTCACACACACCATACACACAAAATACTTGCTTTTTTTTTCCACAGATTTCCTTCTGAAGAGATCAGTCTCCCTTATTCCTCTTTGTTTCAATTTAATTTGTCTGCCACTACCTGTTTTCTTAGTCAAAGCGGAGTCAAGAGTCCATGAGCAACAAAAGTGCTTGGTCAAATATAATCTCTGCCCTCTGCTTGGTACAACCAGGGCAAGAAATCACAAGAAGGCATGACAGAACAGAGCTTGTAGTTTGGCTGAGTCAGAAGGAACTGAAGACCCACTGACTTTCATTTTGAGCCCTTTCTTTTGCAGGGTTTCTGTACTAGGCATTAAAATCATCTCCCATCCCTCCAGCAGCAGGTGTGGCTGATGGCTTGCCATGGTGGCCAGCTGGGTACAGGTTCTAAATGCCCCAAAAGTAGTCACTCATCACCAACAACTCACAGCAAATGCCCCCAGATGGGTGTTTCCTCTTTGTGCTGAGCCCAACAGGACCTAAACCACAAGTCCAGCGAGTTGGACTCGATGATTCTTGTGAGTCCCTTCCAACTCGACCTGTTCTGTGATTCTGCAGCAGGAGATGTCACCAGTGGTTCTGGTCTCCACCACGGTGTGACCCTCACTTGGGCCAGCCCACACCTCCAGCACTGTGGTTCCAGCTGGGGACCACAGGTGCTCATTAGCTGAAGGGTGACGTGGCATGGGCAAAGCCCAGAAAGCCAAACTGAGCCAACTCTTCTACTTTGTCACCTTGCAGAGGCAAGTCCTGCTCTCCCGGTGACGTGTGGTGGGAGAGAGGACACCAGGTCACCACCAGCAAAGGCAGCACAGGGTGATTGGTCAGCTCCAGGTTTGTGCAGGTCACCATCTGGGAAAAAGCCCTTTAGCTTGTCCCAGAGCCCTGTTATTTCAGTACTAAAGACTCTGGAGCAATTTGTTGTATCACATAAGGGGCCATCAGAGGTGGAAGGATATGGGGGAAAAGCTCATGCTACCTCTCCTTACCTCCTCTCTTAAATTTCAAAGAGAATTTTCAGGTCTTGTTTCTGTTCCTCTGGCTTGCTAAAAGAAAGTGGGTTTAGAGTGAAGACTCCCCAGTTTAGACTTTCTTATGCTCTGCATTTGAACTATGTGAATTATGGGGGTGCAGATAGGTGTGCCAACAGTTCTGGTAGCAAAAAGTAATACAAGAAAAGGTAGAACAAGAGGACCTGCTGCCTACAACTGCTATATATGAGATGTCAGCCTTGTGGAAATAGCAAAAAAACAAGTACAACTGGAATAAGAATGGGAAAAATCTGAAGGTCCCACAGAATTGGGGCAGATTGCTCTTATGTCAGCAGCCTGGAGCCCTCATGAGCTCAGAGTTTTCTCATCTCTTAATGCAGGCCAGCAAACTGTTCTCCCTGGTAAAAAAATAGGATTTGGCTGTATGGCAAAAGGAATATTTTCCATTTCTGTTCATTTTCAGCGCTCCATCTGGGCACAGCCTCTGCATTCTTGACTTTGCCAGAGACTGCTGCTATCGGTGCAGTGGTACCAAAGCCAGGCACTGTGGATGCCCTAAAGCCAAAGGTGACCCCACTCCCCAGGCCACAGCCACCCCAGCCTAGGTAAGGCATCATCTGTTCTTATTTAATTTCAAGGAGCCAGAGTGGCTCTCTTGAGCACCTCGGTCGTGTTCCTCACAATGGAGATATATTTCTAAAATAACCACCTGGCTCCCTGAGTTTTCGCTCCTCGTTCATTGAACATCCCACAGGTAGCATATCCATTCTCCAAGAACATCCCTTTCTGTTCAAAGCTTCTTTCTCCTCATCAAACTCTCTTCTTGGTGCTACCAGGAGACATGATCTCAAACCCTTGGACGTGGACACGGCATCTCTGCACTGAGAAAAGGATGAAATGCAGAACAGTTTTGCCTAAGTTGAACACATTTTGGCTTCCCAGTTAACACCACACCTGGATTTATGCCAGACTGAAGTTACAATACATGTAGACATTACTCACAAGAGGCAAGGCCAATGCTTGAAAATAACCTCAAAGTTACTGGCAGAACAAAGCCTATTTTTTCCAACAAAAATGACTTTGCTAAACACACTTGTGTTACGTGAATTTGGAGACCATGCATGAAAGTCACAGAGGCCTCTCTCAAGTTTTGACTCCACGATGAATTGCGTTCCTCCTCCTCCTCCTCCTTTGGCTTCAGTACGTAGTTTCCCTTGTGACCTGGCTGGAAAATGTGTGGTTGCTGGAGATGCTGTTGGATTTCCTGGTGAAGGCCAGTCGTTTCTTCTTCTTCCTCCATGGCAGGCACAGGATGGTGAGTGTGGAGAGGAAGATCTGGCGGAAGTTTGCTGACACCAGGTTGTAGAGGATGGGGTTGATTGCTGAGCTGACGTAGAAGAGGACGTTTGTCAGCATGTAGAAGTAGTGGTAGAAGTTGTAGAGGAAACTGGAAGAACAGAGAAAGGACAAAAATCTGAGTGTGAAGAACTCAAAGTCACAAAGGTGAGAAAAACACGAGCTGCTTCCCAGCTAACCTTTCTAGCTGCAAACATGAGCTTACCAGTGGTACCTGGGCCACCACAACCCATCTACATCTCCAACTGGAACTGGTCAAACACGGATCAGATGCCTCTATGAAGATACTGCCCCACTCACCAGCAGTCAGAGACTTATTTAAGCCCTGGATCCAGACAAGATATTTACCTCATGCATTCATTTTTCTTTGGAAGTAGTCATTCTGGAACCCGAGAAGCCAGATGGAAATTCGCTTCTGTGTCATACATACACATTAGCTTGACTTTTTTGGCTGCAGTTCTGATCTACAGAGGTTGCAGAAGAGCCAGACTCCAGGAACAGATGCAGCTCTCTCCTCCCTCTGGCAGTGAGAGCAGCATCAGCTCATTCAATGGGTCCCTGGGTTGGGATTTGTCCATAATGTGGGATAGCATTTCCTGTTCTGGGGGCAAGCTGATAATAGCATGCTCCTGAAACTCATCCTAACCACCACAATTTAATGTTTTCAACTAGAACTTGTTGAAAATGTTTTATTATCTTTTATGCTTTTGGATGTATCTTTCCTTAGGCCAACTGAGATCAACAGCCCTGAGCTGGTAAAGCATTTAAAACACCACGGGTCTCATTTTCAGGAAGATGTTCCTCAGAATCATTTATCTTGGTGAAAATTGCAGACCTTTTTTTTTAGTCTGAGCAGTGTCTAACAAAAGATAAATAGAGGAGTGCTGGACTAAGTTGCCCATCCCTCCACACCCCTTCAGCACTGCCAAGGACTCCAAGGCCCATGCAGTTCTAACAAGCAGAGTTTTTCTGTGTAGTTGTGAAGAATTAATATTGGAAACATTTCCCTTCTTCAGGGGCAAGGCACATGTGTATAAATGAACATACCAAGCTGCTGCAAGCTCTTGGTTAGCCACCAGACTGATAGTTCACTATCGTTTTGTAAATTCAGCATTTTCCTAAAATTACTCATGGTTTTAAAAAGAAGAAAAAAAAATATTATGTGAACCAAAATGCATAAATTCCTACTAACTGCAGACAGACTTCTCTACCCCTCTTGCTCAAAGCAAATGCAGTCATCACATAATTGAACAGTGCCTTAAGTATTTTTCATGTAGGAAAGCAAAGGAGAAACAAGAGTTTGTCCCAGTGTGTGCCTAGAGCTCTGTTTTCAGGACTGAAGATAGATTTTGGATTTTACTGTGGCTGGATCCATAGTCCCATTCAGTAGACTGCTATATAATAATTTGATATATTTTGAGTCTGGAATTGATAAAATTTTAGTTTTTTATTGTTGTTCTGCTTTTTGGTATTGTAGATTTTTTTTTCCTTTTCCTTAAAAGCAACAGCCCTGGTCTCAGGGAGAGCAGGGATGTAACACCATGGGAGGAGACACAAGAGAGCATCCCTTGGCATCTCAGGCTTCCTCAGTGTGTGTCCCCAGACAGCATTAGCTCTTAATGACATACTTAAAAATAATAATTAGTTTGGTGTCTGCTTTGCTGAAGAGCCTGGCCTGGTGCCTCAGAAAGGAGCAGGGGGTGCCTTTGCACATCTGTGAGCAGCGCACGTGTGTCCATGCAATTATCCCGGAATTCTCTGACAATCTGGGCATTTCCTAATCAGCAGCAACTGCTGGCATTTCATTTTGATCTGCTCCCTGCAAAACCCAGTAAATAACCTGTCCCAGACCCAGTAACAGCACAGCTATTTCCCCACCTGTGTCATCCCCCTGTCAGAGAGGAAATGTGGCCTCGTGGGGCTAAACTGTGTGCTGACAGGAGCTGCTGCATCTTCGGGCTGGGATCAATATCTCTGGCACGGAGACTGAAATCCACTCTGGATGTACCAACCCCCCTGTCCAAATGTCATTTCATCAAGGGCTGCCAGACTGATGTCTGTGGTTGCAGCCCTCGGGAGGAGAAGGAGGAGAAGGAGGAGGAGGAGGAAGAGGAGGAGGAGGAGGAGGAGGGGCTGATGATGCCTTTTGGTTCAAAATAATGCTTCCTGAGGGATTTAGGTAAAACAAAAACTCTTAATTTGCCTGGCAAACATTGAGACATCCAAAATAAAATAAAATAAACCCAAAAAACCCCCAGCAATTAGGTTTTGAGACTTGAACACCTTTGCTCCCAGCTCCCCACCTCCACCTCCACACCTGGGGGTGCTCTGGCATCCCCAGCCCCAGCCTCTCCTGGCACGGGGGGCCCGTGTCCCCACGCTGTGACTCACTCTGTCCAGTGGCTGGAGGGGACATAGCAGAACATGAGGCGCCGGATGTGGTAAGGGAGCCAGCAGACCACGAAGGCAATCACCACAGCACCTGCAAGGCAGGAAAAAAGCCTTAACTTGGTGAGCAGCTCTCCATCAGGCTGAAAAAGGGACCTGTCTGCTCGGGTTTAATTGCTGTAACCGTTTCCCTGCAGCCCCACTTGTTCTTGTATTGCTGTAGTGCAAAGAATTAATAACCCTGAGGGACAAGCAGCCTGCAAATGTCTGTAAAAACAAGCAGAAGTAATAGAGAACAGCACTGAGCACTGGGGCAGGGACATGAGGGACTGCAGGAGGTAAGATGAAGCACTGGCCATGGCTAGTTCCTGGCTCAAAGGAAACTCTGTTTGCATCTGTGTTTCATGCCCTTGTGGCACTGGGCATTTTGTCCATGTAATCACAGAGACAGCTGGAGTATGTTTTCCATCCAGGTAGACAGGGAGCCAGGGCCACTCTAATCCCGTTAGTTTGTTACGTGGAGCCACTGGCCACGGGCCCCACAGTGCTGAGCACCATAAAACTGCTCTTTCTAGTGGCAGGGCTCATCCTTTTGTTCCACATTTGTGCCATACCTGAGATTACAACGTGTTTGGGTCTGGACTTTGTCATAATAAAAATGATCAATTAAAGGGTAAGCAGAGAAAGACACTGTTGCTTTTTTCCTTTCCAGATTCTGAGGGATGTCAGACAACGGAAAATAAAATGCAACAACTCTGAGGCATAAAAGTGCTGTTGATAGAGTGCATTTGTGAGTCTGGATTAAAAAGTAGATCTATCAGGCAATCAAGAGAAAGATTTGTTTCCTTTTGTAATATACGTTTCAACTTCTGTATGGAACAGCAGGATTCTAGCAGAATCCTAGCAGGAAATAAAGAAATCTCAGTTAAAACATAACACAATAAAAGGCAAGAAGAAAATAAAGACTAAATAAAATAATTAAGTTAATTTTTGGTCCCAAATTTGCTCTACAGACAACAAGGGACGCATCACTCTTGTCCTTTATGTGACCTGTAAGGGGCTGGGAAGCAGCAAAGCTCTGCTCCAGAGTGAGGTACCACAAGTGCAATGTGGATTTGGCACGTGGAGCCAAAGGCTGGGGGGTTTTCTGCCTTGGGATTGAAAATATTTATGTGGATATGTCCCAAACCCAGACGCTGTCATCCCACAGGGACCATGTTTTAGCTCAAGGAGATGTGTTTCCCTTGGATAATGCAGTCCAGGAGGAATAAGTCTAGCTGTGGCTGCATCTCCCCATCACTGATGCTTAGCTAAGAGGCACAGGAGAGCAGAAATTAGAAAATCCCTGGTGTCCAGCTCCCTACTCACACCCTACTCCAACTCCATGAGCTCCCTCTCATTAAACACACAGCTAACAGTGGAGAAGGTTCTATTCCATGATGCATGACAGCATCTCCCAGGAATGCTGCAAAAGACATTTATCCAATAAAGATTTGAACAGCTGAAGGGAGATGTTTTGGAAAGAAGGCTAGAGGGTCTGTTTTTATTCTCTTGTCCAAGTGAATTCATTTTTTCAAACTGTTTTTTGGCTGCTCTCTGGCCACAGTGATCACAGATGTAACTCATCACCAGACAGCCTGCAGCCCTTCAGATGCCATCAAGTGAATTAATTTGACCTGTGTCTGATCCTTCCCTGAAGAGCTTTGATGGGACTTTGGCAGGAGAGCCCCTGCATGACATGTGGCACAGGAGAGGTGGGGACATCCCCTGGGAGCTTGGTGGGAGCGTGCCTCGCTCCTTCACATTTCTGAGCACCCGCTTTTGGCCACATCCAGAAATCCATTTCTCTGTCAGATGGGCTTTTGGTTTGCCCTGGATGGAGCAGCCCCCCCGTGATTCTCCAGGAGATCCCTCGCAGGGGCTGCAGGAGAAGCAAAACTCTCCAGCCTCTCCTCCTGCATCCGTCAGCCTCGGGCCAACGGAGCGAGCCAACATCGCAGCTCCAGCCCATCTGCTCTCCCAGCGCCTGCACAGGATTAGCTGCATTTTCAGGCTGCAAAAGCAGCTTCCCAAATGGCTCCAAACACAGGTTCATTCAGGCACATCTTAATTTTTGCAGGAACCTCCACTCGCTGGCACTTCTCAGCTGCTCACCCCTGTGTGCAGCTCTTTAGGAACGGCAGGATCCGGATTCTTTCGACAGCCAATTATAAGAATCTCACACATCTGCTTGTTAAATTTACTAACACGTTAAATGAAAGTGGTTTTCTCCTGGTAAATGATCTCTGCTTCTGCTGCTCAGGCAATGCTGTGCCAAATAATATGGATCTATAGCAACAAAAACACATATTGAGAGAAGTATCTGCTTAACATCAGCAATTAAGTAATCTGTGATAATTCTGTAATATCACATGCAATCACTCCACAATTAAATCTCTATTAAACATGTGAAGTGCACTGGAGACACTTATGGTCTGATTTGGAAGTTCCAGCTGGGTGACACACTGTGCAGTTCTGTGCTGCACAGATTAGGAGATCCCGACCTGAATTTGTCACTCTTAATCCGTATGTTTTCATTTTATCATACAAGGGATCAAGCAGATTTAGGGTGGCAATCCTGCCCTCCTGGGTCCTTTCCCCTGGGAGGAATATGAAACACGAGACTGTGTTAACTTTCACCTAATACAGAATGAAAATTCTCTTTTCTCCCAGATACCTGGTTCCTTTTCCTGCTGTTTTGCTCTGCCTGTCAAAATGGTTGAGCTGTAAAACAAATCCTGGGCAAACCGTCTGCCAAAATGATTTTTTATTGTTGTTATGAGCTCCTAGGATGTGTTCTTCATCATCAAAAGCTTGACACGTGGGTTCCTTTGGTGGAGTAAGAAGGAGCAGGTCAGCCTGCTGGAGCTGAGCTCTGCAGGGGAAGGGTTTGACTCAATATGTGATGGTGTCACTGTCCAGGATGGTCTTTGTGAGGCTGGAGATTTCCTGCCTTTCTTTTTTGAGCTAAAAATAAACCAGACACATCCCTCACTTCTAATTAATTCAATAAGGTTCTAATAGGAGCAGAGCTGCTCCGTGAGCTTCTGATATTTCCCATAATTGAGCAAATGAGGTGCCAAACCTCAGGGGTGGGGAGTGGATGTGGGGCCCCAGCAAGATGACCCCAGTGTGCCAGGGGTGGCAGGGAATGATCCTCCCACCAATGTATGCCCTCATTTCCCTTCTAAATCAAACTCCCAATTTAAATGTGTATTAAACCATGAATTATTACATCCTGTGGTTTTCTATTTTGTCTTATAATGGCTCTTTTCTCTGCCTGTTTGAACTGCATGCCAAGGAAGAAGGGGAGAGGAAGGAGGAGTGGCAGAGGACGAGCCCTGGTTTGTTTTTCCTTCAGGAAGTCCTGCAGAGAGAAATATCAATTCTGACTGACATCTTGTTCATTGTGAGGAGATTTAAACTGTGCCAGTCTCTGCTCTCAGACTAAACTGGACATGGCAGCAGTCCTGGAGGTTAAATTCCGTTAGACCACACTGGGTATTTTATTTTGCCTTGTGTGTACCCTGGGCTGAGGCTGGGACCTGCCCTGCTCCAGGGGCTCCTCTGGGTTAGCCAGTGCACAGGGCAGAGCACCATGAGTAGGAAGCCCATGCCATGGTTTGGCTGGTTTGGCTGAGTCAGGAGTGGGCTCAGGGGGGGTTTCCAGCCCCCATGCCTTGGTTGGGAGTGACTCAGAGCCCCGGGCAGCGATGGGTGAGGAGCCACAGCCGTGACTCACCCGGGAGCTGCTGCGGCACAAAGCTGGGCTGGGCTGGCGCTCTCCTCCTCCTCCTCCTCCTCCTCCTCACTTCATCTCCTGCAGCTCCTCTGGGATGATGAGTCACAGCCCTGCAGCCCCGGGGTGGCCCTCGGCGAGGGTATCCCTCTGTCCTGTCCTCCTTTCTCCAAAAGGGATGTTGCTCCTTCTTTAACACCCCTGCTGCTGCTCAGGCCTCCAGAGAGGCTCAGATCCATCTTCCCTTGACAGTTTTGTCCAGACTATTTCAGCCAATTTATTTCTTTTTCTCTGCATTGGAAGGGGATCTGAGCCACATACGGATGTGGAGCAGCGCAGTGGAATTCCTGAGCAAAGGCAGGAGCTGTTTGGGGAGGCATTGACCCCCCTGAACAACAGCACTCAGCTTTTTCTGTGTTTCAGACTCATCCCCAACGCTGCCCAAGGGGTGCACACCCACCAGCTGGTACTAATGAGGTGTACAAAAGGCTATCAGGCTCGTGTCAGGGTGGTTTTTTGGAGAAACAATCCTTGTATATCCCAGGCTCCTGGGTTTTGTGTACTTATTTAGTTGATGCCATTACAAGAGAAGCTCTCCCAAAGTGCTGTTTGATCTGGGAGCTGGTGAAAGCTGGGCCAATGCAGGCACAGCTGGCACTGCCTCGTTAAACCTCGAGGTGCTGTTTATATCAACATGATGTCCTACCTGACAGGCTCTTGGCAATATTTATATCAGCAAGCCCCAAAGTAGGGATTGCAGGAGCCCAGTAAAATTAAAACTGCTTATGCTGGTATTTGGGTCATAAGGCTGTGGAATAAAGGATTTCCATAAAAGTCAGTAACAATCAGCAGGGTTTGGGGACCACCAGCATGAACCAGGAGTACTCAGGAGAGCAAAGAAGAAACTGGGAGTAACAGTGAGCTTGAGTAGTCCTGAAAACTCAACATTTGCTGGATATAATCCCCTAATTCTCCTGAATGTATGATCAAAAAAACCCCTAAATTCTTCTTTATTAGTGAAAGTGAGACAGCACAGTGAATGGAAAAACCTTTTGGCATTCAAAATCAACATATTTCACCCAGACTGTATTCTCCAGTCCTGATTTTTAATGGCTTCAGATGACAGATTTGAAAATAGATGTGAATTCTTGCCCCAGCTCACGCCAGTGGTTAAATCATCCCCTGGCACCAGTTTCATCCATAAGGAGCAAGGCAGAAAATACAGATTAAAGCTGGCCCAAGAACAGGCACTAGCAAGCAGCACAGCACTGCTGTCCCAGTGCATACTGGGGTCTCTTCCCAAGTTCCCTTCTAAGGTAATCATTATTTTGGAAATTAGAGAAGAGGTTGTTTGATTCCATTTAAACTTCACTCATGCCATTTCCCCTGGGGATGTCTGGATGTCTGGAAGAGAAGGAAGAAGAAAGGAAGAGAATTTCCCCTTTGAAAGGCAGAGAAGGGATCCCATTTTATCCTCACCACGTTCAAGTCTCTTTCTGTTTGGTGAGATCAGGTGTAAGCTGAACTGGCTTCCTCTGCAGCCCTTTCTTCTTTCCCCTCCAGTTTTGAGTTTCACATATCCTTTGTTCCTCCCAGAACAGTTTCTGCTCATCAGAGGGACCCTGGAGCTGTATTCACTGCATGCTTCTACACTAACTAAAGCCCTGGCCAGACTTCATGTTCAGAATCACATTAGTTAACTTTTTAAACACTCACATTGTCACGGCTTAACACCTGGAAAATCTGCTTCAGGGCATGGCCAGTGCTGGAGTTTCTGCAGCCACAAGAACCTGCAATTCCTGCAGGAATGCTGTGCCAAGGCCAGCAAAGGGACACAGCTTGGGAGAGGGGAAAAAAGAGACTCCCAGCCCCAAGAGGTGCAGCCACCCCTGGTTTTTGCTCCTTGGAGGGTGTTTATAGAGCACTCTGATGCTGCTTGTTTTATCTCACTTGGCAGGCTGCAAAGTAAACCTACAACTACAAACATCTCTGGGAAATATATACGACTGTTAAATAGGTAATTTATCCTCCCAAATTTCAGTGTGACACTTCAGCTGTTAAAATCAGCTTCCACTCCAGCTTAATGCCACAGGGGTTTTGCTGAACTCCACTTGGAGTTGCTCAGACTTTTTATTAGAGATACAAACTGCCATGAATTTTGTTCCTTTCTTGAAAAGAAATGATTCATGAACAAATAAATCTGTTTTCCTTAGAATATAGGAATTATGAAATACAACTGTTTAAGGAGTTTTAGACTGGTGCTCTTCTGTGTATTGTGCTGCAAAGTATGAGCTATTCCTGTCTGTAGGCTGGTTAAACTAAATCTCATGGCAATATTCTCCTCCTGAAATGAATAACTCAGACTAGGAGCATTGGTGAGAAGAAATGAATGGACTCTTCAAAGTATTTGTTCAGAAAGGGAATTATTAATGCACAAATTAATGCAATACATGGATACATCATTAATTCTTGGCCTTTGTCTTGTATTACTTGACAAAATGCAGAGGCCTCAAAATAATAATTTCAAAATTCACAGACATTCAGTAAAGAATGCATCTTGACTTCATCTGCTAAGAGGCATTTTACTGAAGCATCACCCAGCCACCTGTGGGAGACTGAAGGATATTCTTTTAATTGGCTAAACCTTTAAGTGCTTTATAATTGCTTTCACTAAGCAGCTTCAGTGACACACAGCAAACGCTACCTGGAACTGATTACATTTTAATAGGCTTAGCCAACGTCCCCTTGCAAAGCCTCCCCTTGCTGTCCATCAGTTTGTCTCAGTGTCGTTATCAGAGCTCAGCTGTGCCATTCCATAACTCCTGCCTTCCTTCCATCCACCTGGGAATGATCTGGCAGGCAGCCAGGAGGTGCTGAGGGCTGCCTGGAGCAGAAGGGGCTGCAGCAGGGGTATTGGAGGGGGTATCAGTCCATGCCACAAAATTGCCCCTTTCCTGAAGACATTTTGGCTGAACAGGGCTTTCATCCTGAGCCAAGCTCAAATGCACCCTGATTTTTGAGCAGCAGAGGGAATTGGGGTTGTTCAGCCTGGAGAAGAGAAGGCTGCAGGAAGAACTTGCTGCAGCCTTCCAGTGCCTAAAGGAGCTCCAAGCAGGCTGGAGAGGGACTTGGGACAAGGGCCTGGAGATACAGTGCAGGGGAATGGCTTTATAGTGAAAGAAGAAAGGGTTAGACTGGATATCAAGAAGAAATTCTACCCTGTGAGGGTGCCCTGGCACAGGGTGCCCAGAGAAGCTGTGGCTGCCTCTGGATCCCTGGAAGTGTCCAAGGCCAGGTTGGATGGGGCTTGGAGCAGCCTGGGATAGTGGAAGGTGCCCAAGGTGTCCCTGCCCATGGCAAAGGGGAATGGGATGAGCTTTAAGGTCCCTTCCAACCCAAACCATTCCATGATTCTATGATTCTGATGTGTGTGTGTGTGCATGTGAGCATTTAAGGATTATTTAGAATTTTATCAAGTGATTGGCATATCAGGCTGTGCAATCAGAAAATGTTCATACTTCTGTGAAGCATCACTCAGCACCCCAGGGCTCCAGCATAGCCAAGGGAGAGCAACACAGACTGGAGGGGGTTTAATGGAAGGAATTGGATGGGTGGAGGAGGGTGTGGAATCTCTTGGTGAAAGGTATTTTTAACAGCAGAGCTGGTTGCCCTGATATCCTCAGTAAAAAAGCTGGGAAGCTGCAAAGTGCCCGGAACCCTCTGAATTTGAATCCTCACACCTGGTGAACTCTGAGGGAATTACAATCAGGAATCTCATGCTTCCTGACTTAATGAGTTGGCTCCCAGGCAACAGGCCTGACACATTCCTTGATCCTGATCACCCTCATTATTTTGTACATGACCACAGTCAGACAGAGCCAAGAAAATACACAAATGCTACCAGAAGGGAGGAAAACACTGTTGTGGATGTTTTGAATGAGGCTGTTAGCCTGGCCACTTTTAGCTCTTATTTCAATGTCAACAAATACTTAATCTCAGTACATTTGGAGCAAGGAAATTTTTTGCTGCTCTGATCTTATCCAGCAGCTCTGCACACCATGAAACACAAAAAATTGTTTTCTAAGCACAACTTTTACAAGCTCTGAAACATTTCACCCTTAGACCTAAATCAGCCTTCTCTGTACCTCAGGCCAAAGTTCACTTTTGGAAATGGAAAATACTTTCACCCCCATGAAGCTCTGATACTCTGCCAGCAGTTTTATAAGGGGGGACAAGTGCCATTTTTCTTTTCTCACCCTCTTCCACGAATGAGCCCAGACTCTGTTAATGATTTTGGATGTCATGGATGCCAGGATAAATCATGTGAATCTTTGTGTATTCTTTTCTACTTTTCAGACAGCTCAGAGACTTGGTTTATTAAAATGCAAATCATGAGGAACAGGTGACAAAAGTGTGAATCAAGCACCTCCACTAATAAAAAAAAAAAAAAATCAGTTTTTTGTATCTGAAAAACTGAAATGCACAGGATTTCACTCCCATTTGCTAGATAAAGAGAGCATTTCTTCATGGTGGAGTGAATCACAGACAAAAGTGAGGGAGGATTTTTTTATTTGCTGGATCTTCCTCAACACAGAAGTGCAACAAACAGCTGCCCTCTCATTGCCTTCCCAGCAGGGAGGGGAGCTCAGTCCTGCTGCCAGCGTGGCCCTGAGGAGATGCCTGGAATATCTGGGTATCCCTGCATGGGGGAGCCCCGTGGTGCCACATCTGAACCACTTTTGAACCACCTCAGGCTCCAGACTGAAACCCTCACTTTTGCCAAATATTCTCAGCTTTTGAAGTACACAGCAAACCCAAAAATTTGCCTGGAGAAGAAAAAGAAGAAGCAGAAGAAGATGAAAAAGAAAATTATGCTTATTGTTCAGAAAGTGAAGGGCTGTTTTTCAGTGCCTCAGAGGAGATGCGGACCTGTGGGTGAGGGGTGCACTTCCTCCAGTGCTGAGGAATGCCAGATGTAAATTTAGGTTTCTCTGCTATTATTCATGAAGAGCTCTCTCTTCTTGATGATCAAAGAGGATACAGTACTGAAAGGAGAGAGAGAGAGGTGAGTGAGGTGGTGTAGTAGGAGTGAGAAAAGGCAGCTTCTCACTTCGTGGCAGCAGGCAGAAGTGTTAACAACCAGAAAGGAATAGCAAGGAGCAGAGTCCTGGCAGGCTCCGTGGGGAGGCAAGGCTCCCTCCTCACCCAACCCTGGATAACAGTTCACTGGGCTGCAGAGACACTGAACAAACACAGTCCAACAAGGTAATTGTGGGGAATTTAATGTCCCCTGTGTCTTTCTTTCCCTTTTCTCAGTAGGCGTTTCCCAGTTGGAAGCTGGGATGAACACCCACGGCACGGGCAAGGAGTGCTGCATGGGATGCATTCCTTGTGAAAAACAGCTGGAAAAATGTCGTGGAGGCTCCTGGTGCCTTCTCTGGGGATTTCTCTCATTGGAAATGTGGTCTGAACCAAAACACTTCAAATACCAAGATGCCCCATCCCTGGAAGTGTCCAAGGCCAGGTTGGACAGGTCTTGGAGCAGCCTGGGATAGTGGAAGGTGTCCCTGCCCAGGGCGAGGGTTTGGGACTAGATGAACTTTAAGGTCCCTGCCAACCCAAACCCTTCTGAAAACACCAGAACATCAGAAAGCTTTATGCTAACAAATTTTCCCCATCTCATGTTTAAAACCACTATAGGCACCCTTTGTTAGCTATTTTGGGTACTATTTTTGAGCAGCTTTTGCTTTATCCTCTCTAAGGTTAAACTACCAGATTCTTTGGTCTTTTCCTCAGCTTATTTAATCAAGACATGCACTACTCTGCAGTACAGCTCAATTCCTGAGTGCAGGATCTTTTATTTAAGCTCTGTCTGAACCAGAGCTCTGCAGAAAAAGGGAAGTAATGAAACAACACAAGCAAGGCTTAAATTGCTATCAACTAAATCATTAAAATGCTGGGTTGGCTTTGCTTTTCCAGAGTGAGCCGTTCTGCTCGTTAGCTTTGCAAACCAACAAGCAATGACAAAAGGAGAGGCCGTTTTGGGCGGAAGTGTTTTCCAATTTCCACCTGTTACCCTTCAAGTCATTTATTCAGACATGGAGGGAAGGCGATACTCACGCAGGACCCTGACGCCGTGTTTCAGGGCTTGCACTCTGCTGGGCTCCATGGACATGCTGAGCATGGTCTGCTGCCCACCAATGGTGCACACCTGGTTCTCCTGGGCCGCCTGCTTGAACATCACCAGCAGCTGGTTGGCGATGATGGTGTTGAGCACGGAAATGACGACCATGGGGAACACGAAGGAGATGAAGGTGTTGACCTGCAGGGGAGAGATGGGGCACAATCAGGGATAGGAGCAGACGAGCAGGAGGTTGGGGTTTTATTTCTCAAAGCAACAGAGGAACAGCCTGCAGTGGAAAGATTTCCCTCCTCTTACTCAGCTGGTTTTGAAGGATTGTTGTACAGAGGGAGAACTCAAACGCTGCTGACGCAGGTTCATTCATGTCGGTCAACACCCAAAAAAGGCAAAATCATTCATTACTAATGACGTTCTTTTCCCCTTTTCAGTGCAGCTCATTGCCAGAAATGTCTCGACTGAAACATGCCATTGATCTTTTCATCTCACAACCAGCAGGATGCTGCTTAGCTCTCATCATGCATAGCGTGACTTCTAAATAACAGTGTGTTATTGTCTTTTTCCTGCATTATGAGCCCTCCTTGGGATCTTTTTAACTATCTTTTTTTGTCTTGTGTCCTTTCCTTGTGGATTTAATGACAGTGTTTTGTTACCTCATAACAACATTAAATAAACCTTGTGCCTTAAAGGATTAAAATTGATCGGAATAAACAAGTGGAAATCGTAATGTTTTTAGTACAAATTATTTGATTACTACAGTTTTGATAAAATTAAATGGAGGATCAAATTAAGCAGTGATTGAATCAAGTAGAAGTCACAGTTCATGTTGAACGCAAGGCTTTTGGGCTGTTTAGAAAGCTCAGTGGAACTGAGCTTGGCAAAGGGCAGCTCAGGGAAACAGAGGCACGTGTAGGGTTTGCCTGCACATCTGCCATGGTGGGATGGGGAGCTGCTCTGCTGAGTCCAAGAGCTCATCCTCTCTGCTGGATGGCACAGGAGGAGACTCAGCACATCACTCAGCTGGGTGTGGAACAAATGAAAAGCCCTTCAAGTTTTTAGAATTTCAAAATATTGACAAGAATTAAGCTGTGCCGCAAATCGCTGTGAAAGCAATTGCATTAGAAGTGATAAAATGACAAAAAGATGAAACTATGAAACTCAAGAGGGAATTTGCTCAGTGGGAGGGCTCCAAGGCAGGCTGACTTCTTCCCCAGACAGGGACTTATCTTTCACCTCAGTGATTCAGGACACAGAACAACCCTGCAGTCCAAGCCACCGCCAGGCCCCTCTGCAGGTTGCAAAACCTCATCTAGAGAGAGGTGCTCCATCTGCTGGGATGGAGATCTCCCCTCTCCACCCACCCCGCCCTGCTGGACCATCACCACGGTGGACAGGGTTCTCTGTACACCGTGTCTGGTGCAGATTTGTGGGCTCTGTGCTCTGGAGGGATTCAGAAATGCTGGAGGTGAATGGGAATCACCCAACCACACCGCAGGGTGCTGCAGGGCATCAGTAAAAGAAATGAGCAGCACATGAGCACATGAGAGCAGAGGCACATCAGAAACACTTCCTTTGTCTGTAGATCTGAAGCAGAAACTCCTCTCTTGGTGAAGACAAGCTCTGTGGTTGTTGCCCAGGTTTTCTTTGGATGGATCAAGGCTCTGTACAACTTTGTGCTCCAGAGCTCAACGTGCCAAGCAAAAGCATCAGCTGGGTTTTGTCTCTCTCCCACATGGTGAGAACATCCTCTCCCGTTTGTGCTGGTAATAATAACAGAGCTCCTCAGGGGCTGAGTGAACTCCTAGATACACCCCACCACTACAAGCTGCTAATGGCCTCTTTTATTAAGTATAAAGCAGTTTTCTAGGCTTTTAAAAGATCTCACAGCCTCCTGTACATAAAGAAGAGTCATCTTTTGGAGCTGCCTCCACAGGTTAAGACAGATCATTATGCAGTAAGGACCAACTATTTAACCCTTGTAATGCAGCCAGGCTGAGCTGGAGCACACAGGGGGAAAATGATTGCTCAGATTTACCAGGTCAGACTAAGACATGAACCCTGCAGCTCCTCACTCCAATTTCTGGGCTTTAGCTGCAGAATGCCCTTCCTCTTCCCCACTGCTGAACAATGTCTGCACATCAGCAAAATGCAGCACTTAACTCTGGAAATGTTTCACTCTGTCACCTGTGATTCAGGATTTATTGGTTTTCATTCTAAAATTTTGCCCTAGTGTAAATTGCACTTGCTTGATAGAATTTTGCAGAACTCCAGAAGTCTTTTCCAAGCTGTCTTAAAAGCCTTGATTCATTTCATAGCTGCATTGTGAAGTCTTTTAAAGAGCTTATGAAATTGGCTAGAATAGCATTGACTTTCCCTTTTAGGAATTGTTATGGTAAAACTGGGAATATTGCATAGTTTCCATAAAAGGCTATATTTAAAGATTTTTTTCCCTGCCTTGGTTTGTAGCAAAACTCTCATATATTAAAAAAAAAAAAAAAATTAAAAAAATCAATATTTTCCCCAGTAGCAGAATGTTTTAATTTGTTGAAAGAATTATGAATAATTTGCAAACACAGAGTCCCAAAGTACATAAGGGCTAGAAAAGCCAATTTTCCTAAGCAAACTGTTTATATTCCCAGTTTTTCTGTCGAGCTGCTTGCTGGGAGCCCAGCACACTGTGCACATCAGTGCAGCAACACTTCATTTTCAGGTGACTTTGCACGCTGCTGGAGCTGGTGCCTCCAACAACTTTTCAAAGTCAGTGGAAAATTTCCCATTTGCTCAGGAGAAGCTGGTTTGGAATCCCAGGATTACATACACAAAAGTTCAGGAGCAGGAAGTCTTGTGGAGGTGTTTAATGGGATGTTTTGCAGTGTCTCCAACATCAGCAGGCTAAAGTAGCTACAGCTCTCAGTGAACACCCATGGGAGCCTTTGGAGCTTTACAGATCTTCACAGACTACTCTGGCCCCAGGAAGGAGGGTTTAGAGAGTGTGCAGGCTCATTTTTCACCTGAAAGTCTCAGATTGATGTTGGCTCACCATGGAAAGCACAGTCTGTGTGATGCTGGATTAGATAGATCCTGTGTTCTGTTATTTGGGTGCACAAGCACAGGGGTCTGCCCTCATCTCTGCTCCCACCAAGCATGGTCAGTCTGATTCTCCTCTCCTTCAAAACTGATGTGATTGCACCAAAGTGAGCCCACCAGAGCCCAGCACCACAATGGGCAGAGTGAGCTCAGTGCAGGAGCCCAGAGCTGTGCAGGGACAGGCTCAGCCCTGGCTGCCCTCTAGGCTAAGAAACCCACACAAACACAACACCACCAACCCCAGGACTGTGTGCTAAATCCTCATTAAAAAAAAATAAAAAAATCCAGTATTGCAATGTTTGCCAGTGGCAGGACAGAATGGAACACATGGAACACTAACCCATTTCCATGCCGCTGTCCCAGCTGGAATCAGTGAAACCCCAAATGCTGCTCAAGCACCAGGCTGGCAGCATCTGTGGGATGGGATTAGTCCTCAGGACCAAATCATGTTTTGTCTGGTACAGAACAACAACCTTCCCTTCCAGCAGTGCCTGAGCAGTGACAGCCAGAGTCTCAAGTCACTCGTCTCTGGCTGTGCTGAGCAGGACTCACAGGTGTCACCTGAGGGTGAGCTCCCAGCAGAAACCTCAGCTGAGACCTTGAACCCCCAGAGGCACAGCTGAGGTATCTGATCACCTGATGGATGCCAGGATGAGGCAGAGACACCTCTGTGACTCCCCAGTCCTCAGAGGTACCACACCTTCATTGTCCCCAGCGTGGTGACAATGACCTCCCCAGATCCATCAAGGCCAGCAGCCCTTGGGGTCCTGCCCTGCCCCAGCACTGAGCCTTCCTGGCTCCCTGATGATAATCTTCATCCCACCTTTCTCTTGGCTATCTCCTGCCAAAGGTGATTTTAACATGAAATAGGAATTATTACCATTGTGAAGGGTTTCGCAGGACACAGGAGATGGAGCAAAGCTGAGGACGGGGCCTCATATGCTCATGAGAAAATAAATGGAAATTTCTGGGATTTAAATCTAACTTCTAGAAGTGAAAATGATGCAGCTATCAGCCTCACAGTTAGCTCAATAAAAATCAAGCTTTGTGTGAGACAGAGAATTCAGCCTTGTGAGTTTTGCTTCTTCCTTCCAAAAAAGAGTGTGGGAGAGACACGGGGGAAGGGACAGCAAAACCAAGGGACAGGAAAGCAGAACCCAGTTCTCAAGTTTGTGACTCTTCCTAAATCTTTTGCATGGAAAACTGCTCCCCTGGCTCTGCTGAGCTTCCTGCTGACGTGGTTCACTTTGGCCAAGTCTCAGTGCCTCAAATTATCTGACTGTGTGGTTTCCCTGGGTTACCACCAGCAGCAGCCATCAGCTCCCTCGCAGCTGTGATGGAGAAGATGAGCACAGAACTGCACAAGGAACTCCCCAGACGGCTCCAACAAAGTCTGTAAATGAGAGGGGTTTGCAAAGATTTATTCTTTTGTGCTCCACAGTGACTTTTGGAGGAGCACAGGTTCAAAGGTCACTTTGGAAAAAGATGGGGTGTGGATCCCTACTACAAGCCAAGACTTTTTTTGTTAGATCTGAAGGCAAGGAGGGTAACATTTATGAGTATTACACTTGTTTATGGGTCACCATTTTTCCCAGTGAAACTCCATCACCTGAGCCACCTGCACTGAATGTTCCCATGGTCCATCACCACAAGATTTTGGACAGGCACAGAAAAAAATGAGTGAAGTCTTGGAGAACTGGTTAAAAGCAAACACATTAGGCTAAAGGCTCTTCTGGACATCCAGTGGCAAATTCAACACTGTGTTTATGATAAAAAACAACCAAGAACAGAACTACTCACAACATTTTAATTGAAAGAGTTTTGATGAGAAAATAGAAAAAGCAAAATCAACACTGTAAGTGTTTATGATAAAAACAACCAAGTATCAGAACTACTCACAACATTTTAATTGAAAGAGTTTTGATGAGAAAATAGAAAATGTTCCAATACTGAGAACATAAAAGATTTTTGAACACGGGTCTTGTGTTTTCCCTCATGCCTTTTTTCCAGGTAAGTAAATAAAATCCCCCAAAGCCAATGGAGCATGAAATGCTGGTCACAGCAGCAGCACAGTGTGGTGCATCCCATGGAGCAGC